TTAGCTGTGATTTTTTACTACATATGCAAGTTACTAATCATCTTTCTTGGGTGTCTTTATAGATTTTCCTTAAGGTGGCAGAGGACAGTGGAGTTGACACTGAAATCATCTCAGGTAAATTTGTATCTCACTATTAGCTCTCTAGTAAACTGAATGAGCAGTACAAAGACAAAAATCCAGAAAAGATCTCATCTTGTATTTTTTATTTTGCTAGATGGAACTCTGCCTGTTCCCAGACATAGGCGACACGCATTTGGTGCTGACCACCAGAGCTGCCTCAAACCCCTGACCGAAGACGATAACTTTGACTGCAACGACTCTGACGGTGATCCAGGTAAACCTTAAAAGCCCTAAAACATCTATACCTTATCTTTACAGTAGAGTCAGCCAAATATCTTCTTAATTTGTTTGGTTTTAAATGTGCTGTTGCCAATTCCTGTTGATGTATTTGATCACCAGAATCAAAAGAAACCGACTATTTGAGCGTTTCTAATGGGAAAGGATCATATCAATTGAAAGGCTGGAGTTTGAAGAGGCAGCAGTTTGTGGCTTTATTGTGGAAGAGATTGCTTTATGCTCGCCGCTCAAGGAAAGGCTTCTTTGCACAGGTAGGAATGAGAAATATAGTCAGTAAAAAATAAACCTAGGCTGCGTTTACCAAAAGCATCGTAAAACTCAGGAGATCAAAGAAACTGTTGGTGCCAATGGTTTCTACGATTCCCAAATATATTGTAAGCCTAAGTAGATCGTAGACACTGTTGGTGCCAGTGGTTTCTTTGATTCCCAAAAACAATGTAAGCCTAAGTAGATTCTATACACTATTGGTGCCAATGGTTTCTTCCACAATCCAAGTAGATCGTAGAGACTACCGATGCCAGTGGTTACTATAATCTAGTTAGGCTTATGCTACTTTTGGGAAACGCAACCCATGTCAGTACAGTTCAGTTTTGATCAACTCACTTTGATTCTCTTTGCAGATTGTTCTTCCCGCTGTGTTTGTGTGCATTGCTCTGGTTTTCAGTCTTATTGTGCCACCATTCGGAAAATATCCCAGCCTGGCTCTCAATCCCTGGATGTATGAAGATCAGTTCACATTCATCAGGTATGACAAGGACAACGTTCTACTCAACATTAAGTTGAAATACTTGCATGGAACCACTGAAATTAAATACAGTGTATTTTCATTACAGTGATGATGCTCCACATGATATAAGCACACAAAAGTTACTCAACGCTTTATTAGATGATCCTGGCTTTGGAACACGATGCATGGAAGGAGAACCAATTCCGTAAGTATCTTACATGAAACATTTTTTTCTGTAACTGTTAATATTTTTAATTTAAGAAAAAACTAAGCTTGTCTTCTCCCTTGGTTTTAGTGATGCTCCCTGTACAATGGGCAATGAGGAATGGTCTACACAAGAAGTGGCAGAAAGCGTGATGGACATTTTCACGTCGACAAACTGGACCATGGACAACCCATCGCCTGCTTGTGAGTGCAGCTGTAATGGCAAAAAGAAGATGCTCCCAGAATGCCCTGCTGGTGCAGGTGGACTGCCACCTCCTCAGATTAAGATGAGTGAAACTGAGACCCTCCAGAATCTGACAGGACGAAACATCTCAGACTATCTCGTGAAGACCTATGCACAGATCATTGGGAAAAGGTATGACCTGATTGTCTATCCACATGAACTGAAATAGTTCAGTAGCGTCATTCAACACATTAACAGATTGTTTCTTTCATAGCTTAAAGAACAAGATATGGGTGAATGAATTCAGATACGGAGGATTTTCATTGGGAGCTAGAAGCACTCAGGTACTTCCTCCTGCTGAAGAGATCGACGATGCCATCTCTAGAGTCAGGGAAATCTTCCAACTGGGGAAGGTAAGCCGAAACGTTGACTCTTAGGAAATTAATCAAATATTTCTCAGGAATAGTGCATGAAGTATTTCTTCTTATCCTACGGTTGTAGAACTCAGGATCAGCGGCCGACCGTTTCTTGAAAAGCCTGTCTGCCTTCATCAATGGGCTGGACACTAAGAATAATGTCAAGGTGAGTGACAACTGGAGGACTGCTATTTTTAAACCCATTATAGACATTCTAAGTGTACTTGGAATGATCTTTATTGTCATTTTTTCAGATATGGTTCAATAACAAGGGCTGGCACAGTATTGGAGCCTTCCTCAATGTAATGAACAATGGTATCTTGCGTGCCAACTTACCACCTGGCAAAGACCCCCGTCAGTTTGGCATCACTGTGTTTAACCATCCGCTCAATCTGACCAAGGAACAGCTTTCTCAAGTGGCCCTGTAAGCATTGAAACTGATTGAATGCAATTTAAATAACGTTAAGGACATTGGTCATGTTGGTCTAATCTCTGAACCCTGATTTATGGCATTTCAGAATGACCACCTCAGTGGACGTGCTGGTTTCCATCTGTGTGATCTTTGCCATGTCCTTCGTCCCCGCCAGCTTCGTTGTCTTCCTCATTCAGGAGCGAGTGAATAAGGCCAAGCACATGCAGTTTATCAGCGGAGTGCAGCCATACCTCTACTGGCTGGCCAACTTTCTCTGGGATATGGTAAGTGTTTGATTTCACTTTCAAATCTCATAATGCACCACTCACCTACTTGGCTGCTGACCCAAAATCTCTAATGCACATTTCTGTCTGTTTTTTTGGTACAGTGCAATTATGTTGTTCCTGCTACTCTGGTGATCCTGATCTTTGTGTGCTTTCAACAAAAAGCCTACGTCTCTGCAACCAACCTGCCTGTTCTTGCCCTTCTACTGCTTCTTTATGGGTAAGAAAGACAGAGCAAGACATTCACTTATATTGATAATTCCAGCTCAATAAGGCAATAATTTATGTAGGTACTGACAATATATTTTTTGTAAATGGAAACAGAAACAAACAGATTATGAACTACATTTATAATAGAAATATAATAAAATAGGGGAGAAACAGAGTATAAAGTATGTTTAGGGACATTTTTGAAGAAAATGTTAAATAGAAATCTAAAAATAGAAAAACATTTAATACAAACTAAATATTGAAATAAAAATCACATTATAAAGTATGTTTGGGTATATTTTCTAAAGAAATTTGAAATGGAATACAACAGAAAAAATACAAAGTAATTTTAGGTACATTTCCTAATGAAGATGTGAAATAGAATAAACATAAGAAAAAGCAAATTATAAAGTACATTTAGGTATATTTTCTGAAGAAAATGGGAAATAAACTGAATAGAAAAAATAGAAAAAACTGATTATAAACCACATTTAAAAAATAAATAAATAACGTATGTTTAGGTGTATTTTCTGAAGAAAATGTGAATGGTTCTTGTCTTTGCGAAATATGTCTCTTAGACAGTCTGATTCCTAGATATTGCTGGGGGTCCCACATGGGGCCTCTGTATATTTCCTGTAGTGAAAGAGCCCACCCTCATATAGATAATATACTCTGTTCTGCAGATATGTAAAAAAAAAAAAACCTTTGGCGCCCTATATGGGATTATACATTATACTTTCCAAAGTCAAAAGAGCCCACAACCTGGGAATCTTCCTTAGTGAAAAGAGCCCACCCTCATGTCTCTACAATATTGTGGTACCTAGATATGCTTGGGGCCTGACATGGGACCTCAATACACTGCCAATTTGCACATAACATTTTCCCTGATAATAAATACTTCTTCTTGTCTCTCTTCAGATGGTCCATCACTCCTCTTATGTACCCAGCTTCATTCCTCTTCAAAATCCCCAGTACCGCTTACGTGGTGCTCACTAGTGTCAATATCCTCATTGGGATCAATGGCAGCGTGTCCACTTTTGTCATGGAGTTATTTGGAAATAATGTAAGAAATTGCTTTTTTGGTTGCTATTCTTAGCAGTAATCCTCAAGCACACATGATTTCTAATGCCGCTCATCCTCTGCTGCAGGAGATCGGTGGCATTAATGACATCCTGAAGAACGTTTTGCTCATCTTCCCGCATTTCTGCCTGGGTCGAGGTCTCATCGACATGGTGAAGAATCAGGCCATGGCTGATGCTCTGGAGAGATTTGGTAAGATTAGCATACTCCACGTTAAATTTAAAGGGATAGTGCACCCAAAAATGAAAATTCTGTCATTAATTACTCACCCTCATGTCGTTCCAAACCCGTAAGATCTTCATTCATCTTCGGAACACAAATTAAGATATTTTTGATGAATTCTGAGAGCTCTCTGACCCTCCCATAGACAGCAAGGATCCTTACACGGTCAAGGCTCAGAAACGTAGCAAAGACATTGTTAAAATAATCCACGTGACATCAGTGGTTCAACCGTAATTTTACGAAGCTATGAGCATACTTTGTGTGCAAAGAAAACAAAAATAACGACCAATTTATTCAACAATTCGTCTCCTCCGCGTCACCCTATAGCGCCATTTTGGAGAGTATCACATACGTAAACAACGTATGCAACGTATGTACACGGATATGCCGCTTACATTCAGATCAAAGCATAAACAACGTAAACAGCGTATCCGCGTACATATGTTGCATGCGTACATATGTTGTTTTCACATGTGATACTCTACAAAATGGCGCTATAGGGTGACGCTGAGGAGACGAATTGTTGAATAAATTGATCATTATTTGCGCACAAAGTATTCTCGTAGCTTCGTAAAATTACAGTTGAACCACTGATTTTAACGATCTCCTTGCTACGTTTCTGAGCCTTGATCGTGTTAGGATCCTTGCGGTCAGAGAGCTCTCAGAATTCATCAAAAATACTATCCCTTTAAATTTTTTTTACAAATTACAAGAATAAGAGCAATGAAGTTCAGAGTTTGACCTCATCAGCTTGATCTATGTCTACTGTATTACCTGTAACTACTGCAAGGGTCATTATTATAGATGCTGAATGCTCTCTTACCTTGCATTAGGTGAGAACCGTTTCCGTTCTCCATTGGAGTGGGACATGGTGGGCAAGAATCTTTTTGCTATGGCTGTGGAAGGAGTGGTTTTCTTCATCATCACAGTCCTTATCCAGTACCGTTTTTTCTTTGAACCCAAGTAAGCAACATCACAACACGACTTTCTGAAACAAATTACATTTATATGAACTGCTAATGAAATTATGGATTAGAAGATTTAGAAGATCTAAAGTGATGGTTTGATCATTTTCCACAGGTCTTTAAGTGCCAAGTTGAGTCCGATTGGAGAGGAAGATGAGGATGTGGCCAGAGAGAGGCAGAGAATCATGAGTGGAGCTGGACAGGGAGACATTCTTGAGCTCAGACAACTCACTAAGGTCAGCAGAAATCCTCTGCTGATGATCACAGACATCAAATTTAGTCAAATAAATGGTGCCCTCATCAATATGTCATCCTTGTCATTTTCAGGTGTACAAGCGGAAACAGAAGCCTGCTGTCGATCGTCTATGTGTAGGCATTCCTCCAGGAGAGGTAATTCATGACAGCTGCCTCATGATCAGCCTCATCCGAATGAGTCACGTCTACTGTAAGACCACAAACTTACATGTTTCCTCCTCCTTTCAGTGTTTTGGTCTGCTTGGTGTCAACGGAGCCGGAAAGACAAGTACTTTTAAAATGCTGACCGGAGACTCTGTGGTCACCAAAGGAGAAGCATTCTTGGCTGGGAAAAGGTACAGACAGTAAAATACAAGTAGTTATTACATTAGAACAGATGATACTTCCTTATAACAGCTTAGTCTATTATAAACACACTGTAGGTTAATCTTAAAATTGTGTGAATGCATTTTTTGATGACGCTGCTCTTTCTTATTTCTAGTATACTCAGAGAAATAGATGAAGTACATCAGAACATGGGCTACTGCCCTCAGTTTGATGCCATCAATGATCTGCTGACAGGACGGGAACACCTGGAATTCTATGCCATCCTGCGCGGTGTACCTGAGAAGGAAGTTTGTGAGGTGAGCAGAGCATATGAACTAAAACGAGTATTTAAACAGTGATTTGATATAATATTTATTTTAATATAATTTTAATTATATTTTTGATATAATTTCATGGTATGTGACATTTAGGGTGAATCATACAGGTCCATGTCATATTTAACCCCAAATAAAAAATAAACACTGAAATTGTACATGCTTAAAAAAAATGAAATGAGACCTGTTTTTCACATTTGACGTGCCAAATAAGTGCTTGCACCACCGTGATGTTCATTATCAAAAAATAAACAAAATTAAAATAAAATTAAATAATGAAATTAAATAAAAATAAATGTATTTTGACAGGCTTTAAGGTATGCTGATTTAATTAAAAATTGTACAAAATATAAAAATACTGTATTTCAGTAACAATTTCCACTGACAATACAGTGAATTACAAATAAAAAATATATATATATATTGCATAAATATTTTGCATTTTGACCATTAAGCACATTTCCCCATAATTCTCATCTCATTATTGTCATGCATAAAAAGTATTTATACAACCTTCAACTTATGCTGATTTAAAATACACAAAAGATATGAAAAAAAAAAATATATATATATTATAGTAATGACAAATCACAATTAAAAACAAACTGAATTACAAAAAATAGGATATATATATTATTTTTGTTTGTTTTTTATAATAATATAATATAATTTCTTCTTTTGATTTTAAGTTAAATGTGACCTGGTTTTGTGAGATTAACCCTAATAGGAACTATTAATGTGTTGTATCTTGGGCAGGTGGCGGAGTGGGGAATCCGTAAACTGGGCCTCGTGAAGTACGTGGACAAGAAAGCAGGAAGCTACAGCGGTGGCAACATGCGCAAACTCTCCACCGCCATATCACTCATTGGAGCCCCACCAGTGATCTTCCTGGTATGTGCATTTCCCCAAACACACACACATGTACACACAAAGACACTTACACAACTGGCTCAAAGTCTTATGCCTCCTAGGGTGAATGTCTGCAAACTAATCAACAAAAACAACATTAGTCTGGATCATATGACCACTATTTGGTTATTCTCTCAGCTGGGTTTCCCGCTCTGATTGTATAAGGAGTTCAAGACTATAACACCCCCGGAGCTAAATTACCCTGAACTCTTTAGCCTTCAGAGAGGCCTCATAATGGGTTGATTAAACAAAGATCACATAAGAATGCTTAAGAATCAGCAAGCCTGTTTCGGTTCACTTGAGTGTGCGATACACGTGTGAAGAAGAGATGGTGTAGCTAATCAGTGTGTGTTTCCTGTTGAACCAATGGTCGAATCTGAGCCTGGCTGTGCTTTTGGTTACAGGATGAGCCCACCACTGGAATGGACCCCAAAGCACGACGAGCACTGTGGAGCTGCATCCACAGCGTCATCAAAGAGGGACGCTCCGTCGTACTTACCTCACACAGGTACATTCACCACAATCAATGTTTATGCACTTAAACTGAACACTAACAGTCAGCTAAAGTTATAGACAAGGACATTAAGTTAGCTACTGCTAGACAGCAGCACTGGCAGCATTAATGATAGTATTGTCTTCCTCTAAAATCTTCATGTCTTCTTAGTTTAGCTTCGATTTTTTGCTAAGCTTAGACTTTCATCTATCACTAGGGGGAAGTATTTAATCTATTTTCTTCCATACTAACCTGTGTTCTGTTCACTCTTAGTATGGAGGAATGTGAAGCGCTGTGCACCAGGATGGCCATCATGGTGAACGGCAGGTTCCGCTGTCTGGGTAGCGTCCAGCACCTGAAGAACAGGTAAGATCATGAATAATATAGAGTGCAGCAATTGGGTTCTGGAAGCAAGAATCACATTAATTTTCTCCATTGGGGAATTGGTTTTTAAAGACTTATAGACAGACCTACTGTGTGTTGTGAGGTTGTTAGTTTATCATCTATGCTTTGTTGAATTCGTCAGTTCAAATTATTCGTTATTTTTAATTGTGTGTAAAAATGGAATTCTTGTGGGAAACTACATTACCCATGATTCTGCAGAGAAATGCCCCTAACCCTAACTGCCCCAAAAGAAAAACTACTTAAATATTTACAAGAATGTACATATTTTGCAATATACATAAAATGTTATTTCTATATACACTAGAAACACCAGCAACAAATCAATAGTTTTATATTTATCTGTCATTTTAATAAATTTTGTCATTCCCAATGCTTCATGGGATTGTAGTTCTTTCCCTCATTGAAGTCATTAAGTACACAGCCTTTTTGTTCAATTTTCATATATATATTTTTTGGCTCCAAATTAAAGTTTGTGATTTTGTGATTCACCTCGTAGCTGGATGGTTTGGTTTATGGTTTATTTAAGCTATTAACCCTTAAATGCATGAATGTTTCGCCAATTATTATTACATATTCGGGTCTTTAGCGACCAGGACCTATATATCCAGCATGGATGGATCTCTAACTGCTGCAATAGCAAAAAACTCTCTTGATATTTTAAGAACAATTACAGAAGAATAAAATAAAGCATATTTCGTTACCTTTTGAAACTTAAAAGGGTTCAATTTGAGCAGATGATTTTACCATCGCTGTCATCGTCAGAGCGCACTTCCACAGTACATTCAGCATCTGCCTCATATTCACGATCTCAACCATATTCTCAAAACTATCGTTTTCAATGACTTCATATTCAATATTTTGATCACTGGCAGCTTATTCACCACATCCAGCATCAAATGACAGTGACATTTATATTTCATTGCGTATAGTAATTGCTCTGCAGTAAAACCATTCAAACCACTTCATCATTGTGTATCAAACAGTGCCACCTTGAGGAAAAAAGATGCATTGCACATATTGAGTCATCAGATATGTAAATATAGTTGTGCAGGAAAAAATACTTATACATTTACATACCTCGGGTCTCTAGCGACCCTATACACTTTTTACAAAAAATTAATCAGAAAACTGGCATTCTTTTATATTTTACTATTTTTTTCGTTATATTGTTTATAATTAATAGATTGAGGAATACTAAGAAAGTTGATGTCTAACTTAAAAAAATGAAGGAGGGAGAGGGTAGAGAATGATGTCCCGGGTCGCTAAAGACCCGAGTTATGCATTTAAGGGTTAAAGGTACAGTGTGTTAATTCTGCACACTAGTGGCGTCATTGAATTGCAAAAATAATGACTCAAATCAAGAACATTAAGCATAAAGCGTACATTACTTTTTAGACATGTCTGTCATGTATGTGACATCACTTGCTCCTCTTGCTGCAGATTTGGCGATGGGTACACCATCATTCTGAGGGTTGCTGGGCCGGATCCTGACCTGCAGCCGGTGAAGAAGTTCATTGAGAGCGAGCTGCCAGGAAGCACCCTGAAAGAAAAACACAGAAACATGCTGCAATACCAGCTTCCCTCCTCCCTCACCTCCCTCGCTCACATCTTCAGCATCCTCGCTAAGAACAAAGAGTTTCTCAGGATAGAGGACTACTCTGTGTCCCAAACCACTCTGGACCAGGTGAGGGGGCATTTCCAACCCTAAAATATCACTGGCACATTTCTGATTAGGGTTTATGTACTGGGGACAAGAGGAAGTTAAACAACAGTCAGCTGTTAAAAGGATAGTCATCATTTACTATCTCTCATGTCATTCCAAACCTGTATGACTTTCTTTCTTCTGCTGAACACAAAAGAATATATTGTGAAGAATGTGAGTAACCAAACAGTAGCTGTCAACACTGACTTTTACAGTAGGAATAAAATACCATGGAAGTAACCAGCAACTGCTTGGTTACCCACATTATGTCCGCATCAAAAGAAATGTACAAAAGTGATTTTATGTCCATAGAAAGCACATTAAATGTAAGTAAAGCGTCTACTTTTAAAGTTTCAAATAAGTTTTTGGAGAAAAAAATGTATCAAACAGTGCCACCTTGAGGAAAAAAGATGCATTGCACATATTGAGTCATCAGATATGTAAATATAGTTGTGCAGGAAAAAATACTTATACATTTACATACCTCGGGTCTCTAGCGACCCTATACACTTTTTACAAAAAATTAATCAGAAAACTGGCATTCTTTTATATTTTACTATTTTTTTCGTTATATTGTTTATAATTAATAGATTGAGGAATACTAAGAAAGTTGATGTCTAACTTAAAAAAATGAAGGAGGGAGAGGGTAGAGAATGATGTCCCGGGTCGCTAAAGACCCGAGTTATGCATTTAAGGGTTAAAGGTACAGTGTGTTAATTCTGCACACTAGTGGCGTCATTGAATTGCAAAAATAATGACTCAAATCAAGAACATTAAGCATAAAGCGTACATTACTTTTTAGACATGTCTGTCATGTATGTGACATCACTTGCTCCTCTTGCTGCAGATTTGGCGATGGGTACACCATCATTCTGAGGGTTGCTGGGCCGGATCCTGACCTGCAGCCGGTGAAGAAGTTCATTGAGAGCGAGCTGCCAGGAAGCACCCTGAAAGAAAAACACAGAAACATGCTGCAATACCAGCTTCCCTCCTCCCTCACCTCCCTCGCTCACATCTTCAGCATCCTCGCTAAGAACAAAGAGTTTCTCAGGATAGAGGACTACTCTGTGTCCCAAACCACTCTGGACCAGGTGAGGGGGCATTTCCAACCCTAAAATATCACTGGCACATTTCTGATTAGGGTTTATGTACTGGGGACAAGAGGAAGTTAAACAACAGTCAGCTGTTAAAAGGATAGTCATCATTTACTATCTCTCATGTCATTCCAAACCTGTATGACTTTCTTTCTTCTGCTGAACACAAAAGAATATATTGTGAAGAATGTTAGTAACCAAACCGTTTCGGATCCCATTGATTTTCATAGCATTTTGTCCATACTGTTTAGTTACCAACATTCTTCAAAATATCTCATTTTGTGTTTCACAGTAGAAAGAATGTCATACAGGTTTGGAATGGCATGAGAGAAAAGTAAATGATGACAGAATATTTATTTCTGGGTGGACTATCCTTTTGGGACATGGCACATGATTAATATTCAATAAAGACAACAAAAAAATGGTATCACAACAAGGTTATTATAGTTAACTTAAACTAAAGCCATTAAAAACCTTTGCATTACTTAAAATAAAATAAACGCTAACTGAAATAAAATGCAATTTTAAAAAATATATTTATTTTAGCTAATTGCCAAGGCAGCATTTTTCATGTTAATTTAATTTAAGTTAAGTTAATTTAAGTGTAACTTGATGTACTACAATAACTAAAACAAAAATGTTATTAAATATATATATGTGTGTGTGTGTGTGTGTGTGTGTGTGTGTGTACTACTAAAAATGGCAAAAGCACAACAAAACCATAAAAATTATAGCCAATTAAAATTCCCCCCCAAAAAACTGATTCAAAATATTAATAAAAACTGTAATATTATCTCAATGATAATAAAATAACACTGATTCACAACACATTTAACTCCCATAATGTGAAAAGTGAATGTTTGGCAGTAAATAATGTAGGTGATGATTGGATAAAATTACTTTTTCAGCAGAAAAGTGAGATAGTTTTACATTTTGATTTAAAATATGGAAAATAAACTTTTTCTTTACAATAACTTACACAGGTATTATTTAAAAACTACATAGGGCGTCAAGTTTTATTTCATGTTTTATATTAATTTCTGTCTTTAAATCTCATAAACTAGTAGAGTATTTAGTATATAATTATATTTATTATGGGTTTTTTTTGTCTTGCTGTGATTACTAAATACTCTTCTTCCTAATCATCAGGTATTTGTTAACTTTGCCAAAGACCAAAGTGACGACCCCTCAGACAGCTCCATTCGTCGTAAAGAGACAGCGGTCAACATGGCCCTCCTGAGCCCTCTGCCTGCTAAAGAGAACATGGAGAAGCCAACAGAAAGCTTTGTGTGAGCCGGAGTCTCCCTTTACACTACATGCTAACTGGAGCCAGTGGATTCCACATATTTCACAATGTTTCTGTGGCCTTTGAGCTGCGGTCTGCCGTTCTGACCTCTGTCTGAAGATAAACGTCTTCACCGGTCAGCAGAGAGGCAGATACTGCAGCTGACACACTCAATGCAAGTCAATGCAAAAGAAATGAAAAAGACTTCTCTCGTGTTTCTAGCATGTCTGAATCCGAACCATGTTAGTCACATAATTTCTGGTGTAGCCGGACTGCACAGACTCTATTTTGCGCAGTCGTCGATATTGATAGATTTTCATCGTGCAAGATAATCGGCTCGATGGAAAATGCCAGTGATCTATAATTCAGGGTCAGTGTCTTTGTATTTTATTTTCTTAAGACTAGAAGACTGGGGAATCACATGCTGAAGAATCAGAATCGTTTGCGTGGCCAAGGGCTGAACTGCAAAACTGAAAATTGTACCGTGTTAAACTGATTTTGTCCTTGATATGTCTTTATTTATAAACAAGCAATTGTTTTAGATGTTTTAAAAAGTCAGAAGGGGCATTATTTTATAGGCTGTTCTATCCAAGAGTGCCTCATGTTATCTTTATACATGCCTTTGTGCATGGGCAAAACAAGTGATTGATTTTGTAGTTTTTTTTTTTTTTTTTTAAATAATAAAAGAAAGTTTATACAAGTAAGCTTTACGGTTACAATATGTAACAAATACCTCGCATGAATAACTTAGAAGGAAATCATTTAAAACATACCATTTATGTGCCTTCTTTCGTATAAGGGCATCTGGTGTGCCCTTCATTGGATCCCTGGACCATTAAATACAGAAATCCACAAACACAACACTGATTCCAGCTGTATTACATAGCGGTTCAGTAGAGTAAGTGTGATCTGTCCATACATTGAGTTTGGATTGTTAAATCAGTATTTTGGATCTCATTGGGATTGGTGACAGCGTTGTCCGCCTTTCAACCAAGCACTTTACTTGCTGTGTTAATTGAAATTTAATTTAATGTCAAAATGTGTTAATCTTTTTGCACTGGATTCTCCACAGACAATGTTTTTGCTGTTTTTCATTTACGGTTTAGTTTTGGTTTGGGTTCAACCAAAACAATAGAACAAAAAAAAAAGCCTAAAAGGAAAAAAAGTTTTAGTACCACAGTGATGTTCCTCATTTAATACCTGTTTACATTTCAAATTTATGGCTGTGGATTGTCTGTTACTCGCTTTGTACACTTACTGTATTTAGACAATAAAAATGACAATTCTACAACCCTAACACTGTTTGATCTGTGACGTCATATTGGGAAATTCAACGTATGATTTATTTTCAGTGTCAATCTGCTTAAAATGTAACCAAAAGAAGCTACACTACATCATCTTATTCATGCAAAAATGCAAATTTTGACATTTTGGATTTTGACACGTAAGCATTTATTTAGAAAAAGAATGACGTTGCGAAATGCTGACGGTGAGTATCAGCAGTAGTTTGAGGGTGGAAGTCTTACTGTGATGCAAAGGATTATTTTGATTCACAATCATTATTTGACCATCAGCAAAAACTTGCTGGAATTAAATCTGTTTATCAGTTCACTTATCTTACATTACATTTTCCTCTACATTTGCCTGAGTTTGGAGTCAAACCATGAAGCCATTTTATTTGATTGGTGAGAAAGCACAGGGGAACATGAGTTTGCTCTTCTGTGATAACAGGTACGCTGCACTCTCCCTTACTGCAAAAAAAAAAATACAAACAGTAAAACATAAATAGATTATTTTTCCAAGACAAAAATTCCCAGAATGCTCTGATAATAATGGTATGATAATGTCCTGTGTAATGAGTTATATTTAAGATTGACCTGCCGCCACCACTCTGGCGTCTTCATGAGATGTATGGCGTATCGCTGCCCGCTGGTCTGCGCTCTCATACCACCATAAAACATGCACTGTGCATGGAAATAACAGAATATATATATTTAAAAAAAGCTCACCAAGGCTGTATTTATTTGATCAAAAATGCAGTAATATTGAGAAACATCATTACTATTAAATTGTTTTATATTTTAAAATGTCATTTATTCCTGTGATGTTAATGCTGAATTATGATTCACTATGAACTGATATAGCATTTATTTCAGGATTCTTTTATGAATAGAATTATTATTTTTTTAACATTATGAATGTCTGTACTGTTGTCTACTTCACACCTTTCCCAAAAAAAAAAAAAAAACCTACTAACCCCAAACTTTTGGACACTAGTGTATATTTAAATTACAGTTTGTAACTATTAAAAATATGATTTTGCATATATTCTTGTCTACACTCACCTTGATTGAGCGGTCCAAATTCAGAGTGAAAAACCCCAACTGCGTGGGCGTATCCTGACCCTGTGTGGGTGCCTACTGCTGCCTGAAACGCCTTGCCCCACACCGCAGGACCGCCTGGCTTCATCTGGAAGGTGGCCAGCTCGAAAACCCCTACAAATAAACAACATTTTTCAAAAAAAACCAATTAGATCAGTTTGCCTAGAGCAGGGGTGGGCACACTTGGCCCTTCCAGGCCACTTTCCTTCGGAGTTTAGCTCTAACCCTAATCAAACACACCTGAACCAGCTAATCATTGTCTTCAAGACTACTAGAAGGCGACAGGCAGGTGAGTTTTATCAGGGTTGGATCAAATCTCTGTAGGAAAGTGGCCTGGAAGGGCCAAGTTTGCCCATCACTGGCCTAGAACATTTGAAATCTGTCTAACTTTGTTTTGTTAACAATTTATTAACTTTTATGCACAATTATAATGACAGAAAGGGGACTATTCGGGAAACCTCTTTGAAAACAGTCATTATGATCAATCAATAAGTTACTGATTAATTAATCAATTGTTAATTAAATTTTTTTTTCTTATGTTTATATCACCTATAGTACCATGTGAGCATGCATTGGTGCCCCTTTGAAAATCAATGCATGAATGTTAATGCACATAGTTCTCACCTCCATCTTTGGGTGGCTTCTGAACTTTGCTCCAGGGTACGAGGTACGTCACCTCATTATCCTGAGAGCTCAGCATGGGCATCGCTTTAGAGATGTACTGCTCAATCCAGTTGGGGTCTTGAGCCAGGGCTGCCCGCACTGATGCCCGCTGAGCATAGCTATCTAAACACCATTAAAGCAAAGACAGAAAGAAGTGTTTCTTATGGAGTAGCATGTGAGCTGCATTGTGCTTTTAGACATTTTAAATAAAATACAAATAATATCTTAGTAAGATTACTTGTTTACTGCATTAACTGTAAGAATGTTTAAAATTGTTATCCCTCATTTGTGTTACAGTCATTTTGACCTGGAGAGGATTTTATTTTTCCTGAAAATGCTAGTTTACCAAAAAAGATAATTTTTGTACGTTTTCTTTTTTTTTCATCTTGAACACTTGTGGTGTTCCTAGTCAAAAAGTCCAGACTACAAAAAAATGCTTGTAAATTTTTAATCAAATTGTTTTCTTTCAATTAGTACATATTTTGTTTTACTTCCTGGAAATGATCAATTGTAGGCCTCATTGATCTGAGCTCAGTTTCTGAGTGAAAAAAAGCATTGTGGTTCATTTTGGCATTATTCACTCAAAAACTGGGGTGCATAAGCTCAGATCAATGAGACCTATGAGAAAGCAAGTTGACAAAAAATTGAATCCAAGATTTGGTGATAATAATATAGCATAATGAGGGATTTACATTGAGTTTTTAAAAGGCTAGTCATTTTTGACCAGGTAAAAAATTGCCAGCACAACACAAGTGTTTTAAATAAGTGGTAATGAAGCAGGACGCCTCAGCTAATGTGGGACACCTGCCAACCCCTAGAATTAAAGAGTCAGGCTCCCTAGGTCAGAAATTTTGATGTTTTGTTGCATTTTATGTATTGATGAATCCTAGAAAGTTTTAAAAGCATAGATTAGACGTTTCAGTCATTCTCACCATACTTCCAGATGTGGAAAACCTGATTGAGACCTCCATATTCCACACTCCAGTATCCAATGAGCTCTGAGTGGGCTGTCCGCAGGTGGATCTTCTCATTGGTCAGTTTGAGGAAGGCAGCGTTGAGATGCGGCTGGATGTAATAGGTGCGGAACTCATAGAAAGTCCCATGCTGCTGCTGAGGTCCGGTGGAGATCCATGCCCTTGGCTGCTTGGGAAATGGAAAACAAACTGCTAGTGTCACCATGTGGTCATTATTGGAACTGTTCAACTACACTTGTCTGAATCTATATGAACCATGAGATCACATAAAACTGACTCAAATAAATGGCAGCTCCAGACTTCTGCTTCTGTTTCTTTCAATTTCCTAAGATTTTTTTAAGGCACAGCCCCCATCCTAAACATTGAGTGGATTTTAAAAACCTTGAAACTAACATGTGATGTTTAAGATAAACTGTTCAAATGTTTACATTCTACTACAGGCTTAGATCAGCCAATTCCCACTGAAGTACAAAGGTCTGGAAATTATGTCCCAAATCCTGTATATACGATATACAGCATTTTTAAAACGAGACAACCCTATATTTAAAAACCGAACAGCTAAACACACTGTGTATAAATATAGAAAGGTCAAAAGGTCTCAGACCGCATTGGGAATTACTTTTCTTTTGGACCTTTAAAGATGGAAATGTAAGAAGAAAGACATTATGTTTTTGCACTATTTAAGTCACTAATCAAATAAGCAAAGCCTTGTGAACTCCTATGCACAAAAGTTCAGATTTTCTTAATTTTCACAAGATGCTCTTTGGGTCTTTCTCAAATCATGCCGCTGAACACGGTCATCAGGTTTTTACAAATGTTTGGAGTTTATGCAGCTCAGCTGCTGCTGTCATAAAGAGTCATATTAAGACATTTAAACTTTTCACGGAAACTGTAATGCTCATAATATAATTTGTTATTCATTTTTGCAGTAGAATGTAAAATATAAGCAATTTTACCAGTGGTCTCAAACATATGGACCTCACTATATAATTAATATATGCATGAAAAACACATTGTGCCTATTAAACACTTTTGCAATGATTTCATGCTTTTGTAACTCCTGACACGGCCAAGGTCTTAACAAACAATGTAACAATGGAGTTACATGATCATATGACTGACAATGTTGGGGCGTCCTCTGACACACCTCCAAAAAAACTAGCGTTTGTCTTTTAATTCAGTGCCATTAAAAAGTCACACAGGTTCAGTATCATCCAATTGTTCTGTAAAGAAAACTTAAACTGTTGAATGTGAGCTCTTTCCCAAAGTGTAAAACTATGATTAAACTCACCGTAGGTCGGCTTTTCACAGACAGACGCTGTTCTACGTGACGTGACGCGTTCCGGAAAATAGCGCGTAATTGTATCATTTTATCAGTTTGGATCTGAACTGTACCTGCAGCGTGATTGACAAGCCAGATGAGACGTGCAGTACTGAACGAAGTTCACTCGTCAGTACGGAAGCCGATAAGTACCGTTCAAATTCGCTGCATAAAACAATCAGCTCTTGTGCAATATGTACATTTTTAAGTGGGCTGTTTTTAATGTATTATTATTATTATTATCAGCCTTTAACGTATTACATTTATTTAAAAAACATTGTACATAAGGATTAGATACAGGTTGTCAACCTAGATGTATGACATAAACAAATACTAATCCTTTGCACATTAAGGAAACAGTTTGCCCTAAAAATGCTAGAAATGTTTTTAAAAAAGAAGTCTCTTCTGTATATTTTTGTGTGTATATTTATTCACCCTCACAATATGCTGATTTTTTATTTATTTTTTTGCAGAACACACACACACACACACACACACACACACAAAGAAATGTTGAATTTACAGCTGTAAAACTCCCAAACACACATTAAAAATCCATAAAAGTATCAATACGATGACTTTGTGATTTTTTTTTTTAAGTTATTAAAGTTAATTTAAGTTATTAAAGGGACTGTCCACCAAAAACAACAATTCTGTCATAATTTACTCACCATTCCAAACATGTATGCATTTCTTTCGTCAATTTACTATTTCTTCAGTTTATTATTTCAATTATTCAAATATAGCCTGTATGGGGGGATTTTTGTAGTTAAAAACATCAAGTAGAATATAGTACCTTTAAACTTTTATTTGTCGCTTTAATTACTTGATTTATTTTTGGTTCAATTTGCCAGAATTTTTGTTTTGTTTTGTGCAATATTTTCACTCCACCTCTATAACACTATATAATTGTTAAAATCGGGAGTTCCATTTTGCACTTTTCATAAGAATTCAAAATTATATTAATTTCAGACATTTTCAAGAGGATGTTCTCTTTTGCTACACTTATACATTTTTAAGTTCAAAGTGTTTATCAATCCAAAATTCCCTGCTAAATTATGTAGTGAAATATTACATTACATAATTATTGTTAACTGCATTCCATGTTTAGTGGAATTCCATTTATTTCACTTTGGGGCCAATAAACAGGGACACACCTCCCAGCCAGACCTGTTTTGAGGGATATTATACAGACCAATGCATTTTGGATTGTGCTCAGCAATTTTTGGACAGACTGGAATGTTTATCCCGTAATGAAGAGAGAGACAATAGAGAGGCTCTGTTCTCAGTGTTGTTGACGGTGGGTAGGTGGGGCGGAGAGCCGTCAAAATATCAGCACCTCTCCTCCTCCTCCTCACTTTCAACCTATATGTTGCCGGTCATCAACAGTACAACACTCATAAACGAGCTGGAAGTCATCAGTTGCTAAGTAAAAGCTCTCTGCCTGAATTTACAAATACAGATTACCCTTTTAAAATCCAGAGTTCCTTCATTTAAGTATCATGACTGGAACAGCAGTGGTTCTGATGAGCCTGGTCCTCATCCTCTCTGTGGGTAAGTCACTCCCATTGGAATTTTTAAAAAGCACTCTTATTATTTTATTATTTTAATCATTGATGTGTGCCATTTGCAATTAACTACAGAATTATTGCAATGAGATTAATCTGACAGTACACATTTCTTTTCAGGTGCAGAGGATAAATCAAGACTCTACCGCAGGGTAAGTCCATTTATGCACTAAAACTCAGAACAAACACCTATTAGAAGATGATTTATGATGCATAACTATGAATTGTGTATGTGTTTTTAATCTGACAGCCTGCATGTGGAGGTTTGAGCGTCAGTCAAGCATGCCCTCTCAACTACTCTCCCGTATGTGGTAATGATGGCATCACATACGTCAATGAATGCACCCTGTGTGTGCAGAGAATGTGAGTCCATTCATTTGCTTCTGTTTGTGTGGGATAACAGCATTACTGTATGGATTTTGTTGTTAGTTAGTAAGAGTTATGGTACGGATGCTGGGATTTTGAATCACTGAAAGGGTGTTTGTTTTTTAGGCACACTAATGCAGACATTTTGATTGTGAAAGACGGCCGCTGCTGAGGTGGAGGACCTTATGATATCTCACTTCGTTTTTGTTTAAGAGTGTTGTTTGCTATGCTCATCCAGAGGATGTGATCAGTATACCTATAAACAGTAGATGTGTGAACACCTACCACATGTTAAAATTAAAAATATTAGTACTAAAAGCAAGTAGGCTAATGTGTCAGTTTTATCATATCTGGGTGACTTTGAATGAATAGTGCTTTGATTTTCTACTAAGTCAGTTGGTTTCATGATACTGTCCTGTCTTTCTTTAACATGTTTCTTTCTATAATATAAATGTCTTCCTTTATTTCTGTAGGAACTGCTCTGAGTGCAATGTTTTAGGAGTGAAGTTTTGGAGTTACAGCTTATTTTTCTAAATATGTTTTTAAAAATCTAACAAAAATGGAAATGTGACACGATGACAGATGACAAGCTGTGGGAAGACCATTTATAACTTTACCTTTTTTTTTTTTGCTAATAAAATTAACACTTGGCCAAACAAATGTAAGACTGACCAGCTTCACTTTGTCTTAATTTTCTTTGCATGATCTTTTAACTCTCTTCAAAATTACCAATGAAACATCTCGTTCTATTAAAAACATTGCTGACAGAAATGTTTGATTTGTGTCAGATGCAAGCCATTACGCTTTTAAATATTCTTAAGCGGCTGATGTTTAGTAAACTGTGTGGCGGAACAACATTTTCAGAACTGTATTTTGAGGGACTCTATAAGAAACGTACCAATACAATGACCGCTTACGCACATGTGAGTTTTGACACCACATACTTCCGGTTAAAGAATAATATTTTGTAAACAGTGTAATGTTAAATATTTAAAAATACAACGCGTTTTAAGATAAACACTCGTTGAAGCTCTTCCCGAGACATGAAAATTAACATTTAATTCATGACGATGCGATTTCTGGATGACAGCTATCCGGTTACGCCTCACACATATTCTGAACTAACAGCATGATTTAAGTTAAACATATTAAATAACTCGTATTTTTCCTGATATCCTTATGCTAAGACTGTTATCGGTCAACTTTAGAGGGCTTACAGAGCATAATACACTCTTAAGTCTTAATTTCAGTACATCATCTGTCATGGCCAAAAGCAAATTTGAATATTTAAAATAAATGTGAATCTTATAATTCCATAAAAGCACATAAAATTGTGCATTGTTTAAAGAGCTGTTCAAGTTGAGCTCAATCCACAGCATTTGTGGTATAATGTTGATTACCAAAAAAAACAAAAAACTATATATCAGGGCTCCAGACTGCGACCATTTTTTCTGCCGGTGCGACTAATTGTTGTGTGCGGTCGCACTGGCGCGACCACTGCGTTGTTCAACTCATAAGCACTGCCATTTCTGTTGCATTTGAGAAACATTAAACGGCAAACGAAAGCAAAACTAAACCGCGCTACGTTTCAGCTGCGCAGCGCAGACCGTTTATCAGCTCGCACCGCGACGCAAATGTTATTTTTAATGGGATGACCAAAATATACTTTGTGGTAAACAAACACTTATGTAAAATAAAAAAAAAATACATCAAATCACAATTATAACCAGTAGACAGCATCTTCAAATGATCAAGAAATCAGATTTTGTCATAATTTTACACTTTTTAAGAAAAGTCACAAAGTCCCTTGAAAAGCAAACTTTTCTTCAACTTTCTACTAAATCACATAAATTAATCACTGAAGTTGGTCAGTTCCATATACTAGAAGAATAATGGTACATTTAATAAGAGTGGAATATATAAAATTTCTATATAAAAATTAGATTTTGCACCTGTTACTGTTGATAAAAGTAAATTTTGTATGCATCTTAACTCAAGCTTAGTGTCCTGGCGCCACCATCTGTAGAACTTAGTGGCGCTGGTGCCACTGCTCTCAAATGTTAGTCTGGAGCCCTGTATATATATATATATATATGACGTCACAGAATTATTGCTCACACAGCATGTAGTCTGATCACAAAATCTCTCTCTCCTCTTATCTATGCTTCTAGTTTTAATGAATCACCGCAAGCACCAACATCTCCCCTCTACACTACTCTCTGTGCTAGCTGTTTTGAAGCCAAGGTGTATATTATTACACACAATGTTGTGTGTAGTGTGTAATATGGTATCCCTGACCTCGTTTCGTGCTTAAATTATAACAGCGAATGTACGCCGTCACTGTAACAACTGTAAGTGCCTTTCAAGACCAAGCATGAACTTGATATTTTTACCACTAATATTTAAGCAAAGGTCAGTAGGCTATTATAGCTCACCCAGTATGCAGGCTGCTGATGGAAATCTCTGTTTCTTTTAGTTTTAATGAATTACACTTCACTCTGTGCTAGTTTATTTTGGTGTCGAGGAGTATTTTATTTCATATAAGGTTATATTGGGTATCCCTGACCTCATTTTGTGCTTAAATTATAACAGTAAGTACTGTATAACAGCATGTTGTGACTGTAACAACTGTACATGCCATTGAAGACTGAGGACGTCTACTAGTTCAGGATGGATAGATAGATAGATAGATAGAAATTTGTTTGATGATCTGAAACATTAAAGTGTGACAAACATGCAAAAAAACAAGAAATCAGGAAGGGGGCCAACACTTTTTCACACCACTGTAGATAGATAGATAGATGTTTTTATGAATGGTGGAGGCAGGCTAGGGGAGGTACTTGTGTCAGGGTGATAGAGAGCTGTAAGATCATGCGCTCCTCTCACTGCCTCTGTTTGGTCTCTGCAGGCACACATCGGTGCTGGCTGTTCATTATGAATGCTGTTCATAATCGATGATAATTCATCGTGCACGGCTCGTTTATTTCGTGCATTTTTTTATTTTTACATTTTATGATGCTTCAGGGCGTGCATTTGAATCGCTGCATGGTCGCGGGCGCAGTGCAGTTCCGATTATTTTTATTGTTATGTTGTTGTTGTTTACATCTCTCTTTAAGATGCGCTGCACATGGCGAGGACATACATACGGGTGAGTGTTATTATATATAGTTATTGTGCAATAATACCGGGTGCTCATTGTTGTGTTTCGTGGAAGTCTTCGTGGAATAGAAGATGCTGAGCGCTGGAACTCTGGCTACAAATTTTGTCAGATTGATTATTTATTGGTAACGTGATTGATTTTTTGCACTATTAGATCAACGTTGGCATAGAGACTCATCTCGCATCCATGACAACCCGGAGCACTTTATCACTTATCCAAAGTGGATCAGCCCAGCCAGATACAAAAGATCTCATGAGGGCTCTAAGGTAATGCTGACTCTAAGTAGTTGTTTTGAGAATGAGAATCATTCTAGTATAGTGCATCAGGGGTTCATTGTGCTTTATATTGTCAAACTACACATTTGCAGGCTTAATTTGTCGTAAGATGGCTTGTGAATCAAACTTTTTAATTTTCTAATTCAATACATTATATTTCAGAATAACAATTTCAGTGAAAAGTTGAACTAAAAATGTTTTCAAAAATCTTGGTATATTGTCATGAACTCATTTGTGTATGTTATCCAGAATGATTTAAAATAATCGAAAAATCATCTTGTGTTTATAGAAAAAAAGAAACATTTGACCTTTAGTAAACCAAAATTCAACTAATCAGTTTAACAAAGTTACATAAGTAAATGATTAAATAAATGTGATAAGTGACTTAGAATTATTAATATTAGAATATTCTTAAGAACCTGTTTTTAGCATATATTTAGTTTAAATTTGCTTAATTTCGTTTTTCTCAGTGTATATATATATATATATATACACATATACACACAGTATATTCTTCTTCTCTCAGTATGCTCTCATGTTTTTGGACCCCACTTTTTCTTTTTTCTTTTTTACATTATCATGTAGCCTATCTACCACCATTTTTGCATAATGGAATTTACTGGGTAATTCTATTCTAACCTGATTGATTTACCTTCCCAGCATCCATCTGAGGCAGAGGTCAAAATTACTGCGGGAGAAGATCTGATTCTACAGCTCCAGAGAAATGAGTGAGTTTGTGCGTGTAGTCGTATAAGCATCTCCATTCACTGTCCCGCTTTACTCCACTGTAGCCACATATCACTTACCAACTGGAGGTGTCGTGATATATTCGCAATGAAGTGCTGTTCATAGCGTTGTGCCAAAAATACACATCTATGTGGTTTCCCTTTTAATTTTGGCACAAGCAGATGTGCATGTGTTGATGGAGTGCGTTTGCACAGCATGAGTATTAAACCATATGGAAATGACATTTGATACGCCTGCTCCAGGACACAGGAAGCTGAGCACATCACATGGTTTACTTCTCCCCCTGGAATGCATTGCCATTAGGGAGTAAGTTAATTAGTGGACATGATAACAAGTTTACAACAGAATAAATCAGGGCAATTATTTCTGAGATGTATCCTTGGCATTAAAAGGCTAGTGACAGGACTTCAAAAGATGACAATATTCTACATCCCTTAATCCTACCCAATACCTAAACTTAAAAACTACCTTACTAATAATATGCAGCAAACTAGAAGTTTATTGTTTAAAAAATTGTAATTAATGGTTTGTTAATGGCAAGAATTGGACCTTGAAATAAAGTATGACCGAAATGTCTTTATTCTTGGTACTTCTATGGCATCCCTTTTGGAACCTTTATGTTTATAGTGTACATTCTGCCTCAAGTACAAATTGTGAAACCAAATAAAGTACAGTTAGTTACACACTACTGACACTAGCTAGTAGTTACTAAGCCTTTAGTGTGGACTATATGTTCCATTTAGCTCCCCGGGCGCCGCAGCAAAAAATGGCTGCCCACTGCTCTGGGTATGTGTTCACGGTGTGTGTGTTCACTGCTGTGTGTGTGCACTTTGGATGGGATAAATGCAGAGCACTAATTCCGAGTATGGGTCACCATACTTGGCCACATGTCACGTCACTTCAAAATTTAAGTAAGAACTTGTGAACGGCTGTGGTGCAACTCTGTGGTGCAAGTGGTGTCACATTAGAAAAGGTACTATCTGCTAAATGACTAAATAAATAAATAAATACTATCTGAAAATCAGAGCAGATGGAAAAGCCATAGGCTACCAACTGAAGATCCATCCAGAGCACGACTCCATGGTGTCTGACTGAGATAAGCCCAGGGGACAACACCCTGCTGTGGGCATTTGTTACAGATGCAACTTTGTATAAAACATGTTCTTTGGTGTGATGAAAATAATTAGCACTGTTTCACGAGCACTACATTGTGTCAGCTTATTTTTAGGAAGGATGTAGTTGATAATTCGCAAGAATTTAGTCATGTTTTACACATAGTATTGAGTAACATCCTAATTCACAGAGACAAGTTGTTACTGGATTCCAATCTGATGCAATGTCAAACTGTTAAGAATTCATGGTGACTGACCAACAGCAGTGTTTTGAAGAGCAGCATCAATAGATAATATCCATACAAAGTATTGTTTCAGTTCTGTTGTGTGTGAAGTACCGCAGAAATATAGAATAACTGGAAATGCTGGATTTTCATAAATGTGAGCATTTGTTGAGAAATAGTTAGCAGCTATGTTGAGAATAGGCCTTGTTTAAAACCCATTTAGCCACTTGTGAGCAACCGTCTTTTTGAAGACAAGTAAAAGCTTTAAAAAATCACAAGTTGTTTTTCATAATGTATTTTATGTTGTAGAATAAAACATAATATCTTGAGCTTGTGTTAACCACAGACCTTATTTCAGACATTTAACCAAAAACCCATCAACAAGGACAATGGAACCTGAAATGTTAAAGGGGTCCTATTATGCTCTTTTACAAAGTCTTGATTTTGTTTTGGGGGTGTACTAGAACAGGCTCTCATACTAGGTTGTTCGAAAAACACATTATTTTTCACATATTTTACATTATTACAACACCTCTCTCCCCAGTCTGGCATGAACGGCTCGAATACTTCCTGTATCAAATGAAGGCCCGCCTTCTGAAATACGAAATGTGCTGTGATTGGTTAGCTGGGCCAGTGTGTGTTGTGATTGGCAACACTCGGCGCCTGGTCGGGAAATATCATGCCCCTTACCATAGCCGCCTGCGAGCTTCAATGTAAATATTGCGTCAAAATCAAATCAATTTGAGCGCGATTTAAACCCTGATGATTGTAACCACTCTAAGTTTGTCTGCCTTGGGAAAGCTAGCATGTCTCTGACATAGTGATAACACTCGTTGCCTTCTCTAGTGCAGCTGAACCATGTCTCGTCCCATTCGTCTGTATTTGTGATATCACAAATGCCGGAAAATATGCGTTGTAGTCCAAACGAGTCAT